TATCACAATTCTTTTGCAAAGAACTGATTTCTATATTATAGTATACACGTAACAAAGTATATATCACAATTCTTTAAATTTGAAAACAAAGTTATATCACAATTCTTTTGCAAAGAATTGATTTCTATATTATAGTATACACCTAACAAAGTATATATCACAATTCTTTTGCAAAGAATTGATTTCTATATTATAGTATACACCTAACAAAGTATATATCACAATCCTTTAAATTTGAAAACAAAGTTATATCACAATTCTTTTGCAAAGAATTGATTTCTATATTATAATATACACCTAACAAAGTATATATTACAATTCTTTTGTAAAGAACTGATTTCTATATTATAGTATACACCTAACAAAGTATATATCACAATTCTTTTGCAAAGAACTGATTTCTATATTATAGTATACACGTTCAATTTTTGTTCATTTTCGTTTCGCATCTAAATACAAAACTTACAGATATAATAGTTTCGATAAAATAATTATCGTAAAAATTATTTATTTCTACATTTCACACGCTTTACTTTCAAATGTTCGTCATTTTTCATTTTCATTCCACTGAAGTCTAAATCCTGGCTTGGATTCGAGATATTGGCGCGCAGTTAACGCGTTAATCTTTTATCTGAGAATTATGAATCAAGGTCTTGAATTATGAAACAGAGGAAAGACGCAGATACTGAACATAAACTTGTTTCACACAAATGACTCTGCTCATTGAATTTATTAGAATGTAGACCACATTTTTGCGTATTAAATAGTTGCATATTTAACATTTTTCATGTCCAAACTAATTTATAGTCATAGAATATTTTATCACTACACCTATTATATATATATATATAATTATTATTATTATTATATTATTATATTTGTAATAATATAATTATATAATTATTATATATATTATATATACATATATTTTATTATATTTATATTATATATATATATTATATTATTATATATACATACAGGTAGTTACATATACATATATATATCTTTTATATTTTTTTACATATGCATATCTTTTATTTATTATTTATTATTATATATATATATATGTAGTTATATATATATTATTATATATATATATATGTAGTTATATATATATTATTATATATATATATATACATGTACATATATATATCTTTATATTTTATTTCAATATCTCCTCCTTTTTCAAAAAATAAACATTTATCAGTTCTGCAGAAGATTACAATTACACAATAATCCATACACGTGAGTTTGTAAGCGTTTCATTACGAATTCAGTTACATAATACTCGCAATAATTATACCGAACAAGGTGTTGCTCATTATTAAACAGTGATTGTCGACACGCTGGACAGAGCAAACGACGAAGATAATAGAGGCTCAATAGCTAGTAATTTCCGGTTCCGGATTACCTCGCCCGACCCAAAAGGAATCGAACTGCAAGGCGCAACTAAACGACCCGACGAAACAAATTATTCCGCAGGCCTATTATGAAACCCACAATCAGAAATTATGCCTGCTTTCTCTTTCTTTCTTTTTCCTTTTTTTTTGTCTCTTACATACTCTTAGTGTCTGTCGCCGAGGAAATTGTAGGTAGTTCCTTACTGTGCATACAAAAGAAAGAACGCGGACCTTTCTTTTGATAGCCAGTTTGCTATAACCCACACCTTCGTTCAAAAGTTAGGCATTGAAATTCTTCGAATTTGCCATCTTGTTTGTTGACGTAGAAAATTTCTACAACTTCTTGATATAGAATAGACTATTATAGAATATATAATATTATATGTAATAATATTGTAAATATATATATAATATTATAAATATAAATATATTATAAATTTTATAAATATTAATATAAATATATTATAAATATTATAAATATTATAAATATTATAAGACTATACTATTATATATACTATTATATTATATTAATATATATATATATATTTATATACTATTATAAATATTATAAATATTAATATAAGACTATACTATTATATTATATTAATATAAAACTATTATAATTAGTAATTTTTATAATATAATTATATAATATTTTATATAATATTATATTATATTATATATTATATTAATATAATAAGACTATTATAGAATATATAATTATCTATAGACTATTATTTAATTAGTAATTTTTGTAATATAATTATATAATATTTTATATAATATAATATTGTATTATGTATTATATTAATAGAAGACTATTATAGAATATATAACATTTATTTATAGACTATTATTTAATTAATAATTTTTATAATATAATTATATAATATTCCATTTTATTTTATTTTATTTTAATAATATTTTATTTTATTTTATTCTGTTTTATTTTAATAATATTTTATTTTAATATCTTATATTAATTACATAATATTTTTATCACAGCGTAATATTCATAATAATAAATGATTCACACTGGAGCTCTCCAATTATTCACATTATATCATTTTCACTGATCTGTTTCTTTTCACGTGATTCAGAATCAATTTGAACTGCAACTTGAAGGCAGGTGATTACTTTACTCTACTTGACCAACGGTCAACTAGATACGCTGGTGCGTATCGCGGGGTCGTCCGTCCTTTCACGTGAATTGGGACAGTTTTATGTGTGGAAAGATTTGAGGAATCGGACGATAAAAGGCTGACAGAGAATTCATTCATACGTCCCACCCTCCTCCGACTCGTTCAACCAGAGGGGACCAACGCGTCCTCATCTTCCGGACTATAGTATTTCTACCATGCTTAGGTCTGGATCATCGTGCCTTTCTGCGAATCCCCTTTATTCCATCTCGGTTAGGATATTGCACGCAGCTTTTTAGAAACTATAATCTTTTATTGCCTCTCGTTTGTCAGCGTTGAATATATACTTGAAAGACGATGGACTTATTTGTCAGTGTCTTTGAGTATTATAAGTTGTCCAGGCTTTACTAAATATTAGAGTTTCTTTAGCGTTGGTTTTTGACACACTCTCACTCCTTCATATGTGTAATTTATCAACTGAATGATGAATTGAAATCATTTGGATCGTTCGATTTTACGTTCGTTTCCACTTTGTGTTTTGCGATCGAGTGTCGTTTGTTTTGCGATCAAAAAAATGCGAATAGCAGAGAAGGAAGAAATGTAAATTGTGTAATTTGAGAAATGTGTCAATTTTTCTCAGTGTCTAAATGAATTTTAACCGGTCGTGGGAAATCAAGAGAATTTTAACACTGCTGTGTCACTTGTTTTTTCAATTTTGAAAACGTATCGCCATCTGATTGTATATAATGGATTTTTGCAATAGCATTGAATATATTAATGAAAAAGAACATTATTAGTTGATAGATAAAAGTACCTAATGTTCTGGCGAAAAGAAATTTTGCAAAAATGTTGGATCTCGTCTCGAAACGTTCAAGAATCGCGGAAACCTACGTACGCCACTGTCTGTCTACAAATTTCCATTCTACTTAACTCTCTGTAACTAGAATTTCGTTCACATACAGTAAACATATCGCATCGATTATTACTTCCTCGATAAATAGAGTAACTAGAACGATATAAATATCTTATAAATAAGTTACTCGGTGCGTAAACGTATTGATAAGGAAATGCAACAATGATGTAATAAATATCCTCGAAATGTGACTTCAAACATCTTCCAATCCATCGTAATAAAACAATAAAAAGCTCAGCTACCTAACCGCCGTTATCATACCAGAAAATCTGCCGTAGCTAATAAATCTCGAAGTGATCGAAGTGGCAAGTTGAACCACAAGCTTCCGGAAGACAGGCGCGTCTTAATCTTAAACGATTAAAGAGAAAAGGAGAAGAAGGAGAAAACCAAAAAAAAAAAAAAAAAAAAAAAATCGAAGGAGAAGATACAATCTTCTCGGGCAATTGCTTACTCAAACATTCGGTCAATTTGAATAAAATAACGGAGCACACGTACGTTATATTAACGTGCACGCGTGTACGTTATATTAAAAGAAGAAGGAGAGAAATGGCGAATGTTGGGAGAGAAAAGAAAATAAAGGGAGAGAAAGATAAATAGAAGCAATGGGTGGATAATGTCCGATTAAAGGTGCAGTTTTTTGATGGCCAATTACTCTCGCAGATAGAGGGCCCGAGTTCCACTCGCAGGCCCCCTGGCTTCTTTTTCTCTTTCATCTTCTTCTCTCTTTCTTTCTCTTTCGTTTCGTTTCTGCTCCTTCCCCCCTTTCTTCTTTTCTCTTATTTCTCTTATTTCTCACTGTTCATTTTTGGCCGGGTGAATTTTTCGAGTTGAATGTTTACGATCCACGCTCCAGGGTAAATACGCAACCGGCCGATTGTAATCGCCACGATGGGACACGCCCTGGAATTAATCCTGATAAAATTAATAGGCTCCCATTACCGAACGCGTGTGTGTACCAGCCCGAACAGATTGGCTTTTTTCACTTCCATTTTGCATTAGATATGGATATTACATTATACTCACAGAATTGGTGTATCGTGTTATGATTGATAACTCGAATCAAATTTGCATGGTTCGTCGATTCTTCTTTCTCTTCGCCCCTCTCCCCTTTTCTTTTTCTTTTTTTTTTTTTTTTATCGTGTATAGACATTGCCGTATCATATTCGTGGAAAATTGATAACGATGAATTAATACCTCTCGACGTTCCACAAAACTTTTATTAATCCTTTCCTGGTTGAACGATAAATAAATAGAGAAACAAACAGAGAGACCACTCGGTCAGAAGTTCAATTCTAATTTCCCTAGTAATTAATTATCGGAATTGATTTACGAAAGATGTGAATTTACGTACATCTACTAACTCGATTGTTCTCCTACTAAAGAAAAAAAAAAAAAAAAAAAAAAAAAAAAAAAATAAAAAAGAAGAAGAAGAAGAAGAAGAAGAAGGGGGAGGAAAGTTTTTTCCATTCGTCTTCCTTTTTGTAACGGAACGACAACAAATGAAATTTATTTGACACGGTGTAATTTATGACTGTTGATCGTTTTCAGATTATCGTTTCCCTCGGGTCACTCGTCGTTCTCGGCCTACACGATGATTTACCTTGCGGTAAGTTCCTCTTTTTCGTTCGTCTTCCCTTCGGATTTACGACTATGTGGGTATGTACATACGGCTCTCGCTCGATTCCCATCATCGATTCTCCTGCTTTCCCTCTGATAGAGAATTTGAACGACAGGAATGAAAGGAACGCGCGAAGGCGAATGCGTGATAATTTTTATTTCCTTTTTTTTTTCTTATCTTTTTTTCTGTAATGAGACGTATACATAGATTGAATGGTAATTGAATGTACATATGTATTGTCGTATATACTGCTTAACCGACTGCGAATCATTTTCATCTATTTTTTGGGAAATTTTGGGCTACAAGGATCTACAGACTGTGGCATATTGCAATTAGATATAATATTATAGTGTATCTAATTGTATTTAATACAATATTACTATTATATTATATAGTAATATAATAGTAGTATAAATACAACAAATTTACTAATATCGTAATATTATTAAATAATAATACAATAGTAATATTATGTAAATAATATTAATAATATGTAAGTAATATTATATACTTATGTATTTATATAATATTATTTACATAATAGTAATAATATGCAAGCAATATTATATATTTATGTATTTATATAATATTATTTACATAATATTAATAATGTATAATATAATAGTAGTAATATTATATAGTAATATAATAGTAGTATAACAATATAACAAATTTAATAATATAGTTAAATAATAATACAATAGTAATATTATATTAAAATATTATTTACATAATATTAATAATATGTAATATAATAGTAGTAATATTGTATTACATAATATTAATAATGTATAATATAATAGTAGTAATATTATATAGTAATATAATAGTAGTATAAATATAACAAATTTAATAATATAGTAACATTATTAAATAATAGTACAATAATACAATAGTAATATTATATTAAATATTATGTAAGTAATATTATATAAATATATAAATATAACAAATTCAATAATACAGTAATATTATTAAATAACAATACAATAGTAATGTTATATTAAATATTATGTAAATATTAAGTATTAATAATATGTAAGTAATATTATATAGATATACAATATTACTTACACATTATTGATATTATATTAATCTCTTGATATTCATTTCGTGATCAAAATTAATTAGTAACTAAAACAGAAGTCGTATGAAAGCATTCTACATCCGACCAAATGATGTTTACCTAAATTTTATTTCGTTGATCACGTCGGAAAGTTCACAACAACGTGATATCACACGTCAGAAGATCCTTTTACCTCGTCTTCTGACACAAATTGTAAAACACGTGACGTCAGTACATATAAAATGTTGATTTGATACTTAAATCATTCTTCATACCTGGAATATAAATATTTCAGAGGAATGTAAAAAATTACTTCACACATGACCGCTTCTTGGACATTCGTTTTCCTGGATTCGTTGCATCGAGTGTTACGTGATATATGTTGAATGCAATTACTTGTGCAACTCAGGTCTTTGCGCATTTTTCCATTTTTCATTCTCCTTTCTCTTTTTAATTTTCAACTTTTAATTTTTATTGAATATACGCGACGTTCGTTACATTTTTATCTTTAAAGAGGATAAATTATACTAAATCTATAATAGACGATATTATACTAAAAACTTTAAAAAAAGACAATTTGTTCTAAGTCTAATAATAATGCTGTTATAATATACCAATACTAAATTCAATATACTGTACTATAATAATACTAAATAATATTTCTATATTTACTATTAATAATATTACTATATTTAATATTATTTTAATATACTAATATTATAATATACTAATAATACTAATTGATATATTTAGTGTTATTTTAATACACTATTATTATAATATACTATAATAATACTAATTGATATATTTAGTGTTATTTTAATATACTAATATTATAATATACTATAATAATACTATATTTAGTATTGTTTTAATATACTAATATAATAATACTAATTGCTATACTATATTATTTTAATATTATAATACACTATAATAATACTATATTTAGTATTATTTTAATATACTAATATTATAACACACTATAATAATACTAAATTTAATAACAATACTGTTATCTTCTCTCGATAGATCTCTGACGACGATACTTTCCTGTTCTTCCTTCTTTTTCCTACGTTTATTCTTTGAAAGAAGATGATTATCAATCTTGAATTCTGTAATTCAACGTTAGATTATCACATATCTTCTAACTGTACGCAGAACTTATAATATACTTATAATATACTTATAATATACTTGCGTATTAACGTTGTTACTTTTCAAATGTTACACTCACACTTCAAACAACTTTCGTAATGTGTGTGTTTCAACTCTAAACGCGTAAAAAAGTTCACGTGCAAATATCCGTGATGATTCATAACTTCAAATAACGGAGTTCCAAGAGTTCTTAGTAACATGACACAATAAATTATGTGATTATGTATGCAATTTTCTTCTTTACCACCAAACAAAGTGATAATTAAATCGCGTTGATAAGTGCAGCGATGAAGCATCAAATTTTTTAGATTAATATCAAGTTTTATTTAATCATTTAAAACATTCTTTCGAACGATGAAGAAACGTTTCTGGAGCGTAAAAATTTGAAAAAAAAGAAATTGCTATTGCCATCGATTGAAGACAAAAACTAAAGCACGAAATATTTATAGATAGATGAAACAAATGAAACACAATTAAATACAAAATATTTAAAATAAAACACTCGTATATATTATTTTCATTTCGCCTGTCTAATTGCGTTTCTAAAAATAGAAAAACGATCGAACTATTTGTTATTATTGTAGCGTTAAACATTCAAAGATGATACTGAGCCCATCGCAGATGTTCTAATCGACCCAGTTTCTAACAGTTGTTCAACGCTTCAGCCTCCAATTATCTTCGACGAGTTTCGAAAAAACGACATTTCGCAATCATCAGCCCACCTTCGTTCTGTCGCGCGCTTGTGCACAACTTTTACTTTCTCTCCTTCTTTACAGCGCAACATTCGACAATGCAACATTCAGAGAGAAGTAGAAAAAAAGGGGGAAAAAAATTTCATTTTCACAACACTTGGCGACAAACAATGCAACACGTACGTGTTGATTGTGGAATAATTTTCTGTTTTTTTCTTCTTTTTCATGGTGTCCCGCAGCTATACCTACAGCTGAGAATGACGTGGAAGGGTAGCAAGTTGTTGAAACACTTCCTGCAACTTTTATGTCTACTTATGGCCTGGTTCACGGCATTGTCACGAGTCTCTGATTATAAACATCATTGGAGCGATGTTCTGGCCGGCTCGACCCTTGGTACCATCGTGGCACTAGTCGTAGTGAGTATTATTCTCCTTAACTATCCTATTGTGCGATCATAAATTACACACGATCGTGAATATGAAATATACGATGTATCGGGCCAGCAGAAGCGTTTACGACCTCCTTTGATCGCGTTCGCTTGGTGGAAAATTAATCTGAAACACCGATGCTCCTCCGTATCGTACAATGGAGCTTCCAGTTCATCCGGATGAAATTTATTCGAATAGAAACTTCATTGGGTTAGGTCATTTCCCAAACGAAAATCGCGAGATAATATAAACTTTCTGAAATGTATCTTCAGTGATTAAATATTTTTTTTTCTTTTTTTTTTTTTGATAGAAGAAAGTTGCTTATGTTGAAAATACCACTTAGGAAAATACCAGTTTTGGAAGGAAAAAATTTGGGAACAATTTTGGAACAGCATTGACACACGAACTCGAATGAAGTAGACTGTGTGTGGATAGTGACAAGAGAATATTTTTAGAATAGAGTCAAATTTTTTTTGTGAAGCTGAAGTTTCACAATTTTTTGGACTACAGTTATTTTAAATTGAAGCTACAATACAAGATACAGTTGTAATTAAAGATACAATTGTACTGTTGGAGGCAAGATTTTGCTTTATTAAATATTATGTACATGTGTATTCTAACAAGTATTAGTATACAACGCAGATTGTATTAATAAAACTATCAAGAAGATACATATTAATGATATAATTGATTATTGATAAATGTAAATATTAATTGAATTAAATTACAATATATTTATAATTATGTAGCCGTATAATATCACAGTATATTTAATTAAATTACAATATATTTATAATTTTCTAGCCATATAATATCACAGTATATATAACGTTTTAACGTTAATTATGTAGCCGTATAATATCACAGTATATTTAATTAAATTACAATATATTTATAATTATGTAACCGTATGATATCACAGTATATTTAATTAAATTACAATATATTTATAATTTTCTAGCCATATAATATCACAGTATATATAACGTTTTAACGTTAATTATGTAGCCGTATAATATCACAGTATATTTAATTAAATTACAATATATTTATAATTATGTAACCGTATAATATCACAGTATATTTAACGTTTAAATGTAATTTTCATCACTGAGGCATCACAGCATAATTACCACAGAAGACAAACAGTATTTTGACATTTTGGATAATGTAACATTTTTTATGATGAACGATATTTTAGAGGATTAAAGTATATATCTACATATGTATTCACAATGTGAATTTTATCCCCGTGGATAATAAGAAACGTGATTTTATCTTGTTCCTCCTTTATAGCAGTTTCTTCATGTTATGACATGAGCTGAGTTAGTTCTTGGAACTGAGTTTAAAATGACTGATGCATTGAAAAAGTTCCTCGAATGACGCTGTTATAGGAAGTTGTACATGCAGATAAACTTTTATTACTCAACGTAGTTTATTAACCAGTCTGGATGTACCTATCTGACAGATTCTTTTTCTGAGGTGCCATTTAACTTTAGCACTTTAGCATGCAAATTCTCTATCTAGTGAGTGACTTCTTGTCACCTGATTATGTTCTTGTTACATACGATTGTCGTTTCACTTTTATTTGCAAATTTTGCAGTTCTCTCTGAACCTGAAGTTTTCTGAAGATGATAGCAAGATTGTAATTTCAGAAGATATAAAATTATAATAAAAATTAAATATATACAATCATATTAAAAATATAGATTTAAATATTATATATTAAAATAATATTAATATAATATATTAAAGATTTACATATATATGATATATATATTATAGGCTTAAATATATTAGAAGATAATAATATATATATATATACATGATATATATATATATATTATATTAATATAATATATTAAAGATTTACATATATATGATACAATATATTATAGGCTTAAATATATTAGAAGATAATAATATATATATACATGATATATATATTAATATAATATATTAAAGATTTACATATATGATATGATATATTATAGGCTTAAATATATTAGAAGATAATCAGAACATTTCGTACGATATCTTTTGCAGGCAAACTTCGTGGCGAACCTGTTCGAAGACCGGAGCCATTGCCTAATTGAAGAGAAGCACCATGCAACCGATTACGAGACGGGGGCCGGAACACAGGTGAATAATGGCTCTACTAATCGCAACTGTTGACCTAACGAGCTAGCTCTTCGCTTGCTGACCACACCGAGACCGTGACTCGTCTTCTAGTTGCCTTTGGGAAGCTAGTTTTCGTCTTTAGGGGAACAAAAAAAAGCGCACGCTGGCTGCCTGAAGCTCGAGCAATTTGAGAAGAAAAAAAGAAAAAAAGAAAAAAAAAACACGTTACGATATGCCCAAAAAGTCGGTGTCGCGACATTTTTTTATTATTCGACAGTGAAACTGCCTTAAAACCTGCTGTGGACCGTTTCATTATCTCTCCCGCCTTCTCGACGATTCTTCTAGACATTGCCTTGTTTCAACGTACAATCATCAATCACCAGCTGATCATCGTGCCGACGAGATTCCAAATTGGGGCAGAAAGAAGCCAAAAAAAGACAACCGAAAGGAAGGAAAGAAGCAGCAATGTTAGTCGCGGGATAAAACGAATTTAGCGTGCTTCTTCTATTAACGTTTGGTCGAGCTTTTGTGGTCAGCTTTTATGGAGAAATTTTCTTCATCGTTTTTCGAACGTCGTGCCCGTCGTGAAATTACGATGCAATCGGCAACACGGAGCGATACTTACGAAGTAGAATCTTTTTCACACGATGCTGACGAATTTTCAAACTCGAGACTTGAAAGTAACAATCGACATTGTTATTTTCACTCGGTGAGGGCGAAGCTGCGTGTGAAAATATTTCACTTGGTATATATCTCTATCGATTCGTTCTTCCACGTAGAGTCACTACCTTGCCAATTGTATCATAATTATTGGGACGCTCGTTTTCTTTTTTTTTTTTTTTATTTTTTTGCCTTTCGGTGAAAGCGCATATTTATCCATAGCGTAGCGAAGAGCGAACTGCATATCTATGTCTTGTCGATGTCGTCCTAGCTTCATTTGAGAAACACTCGTATTATCGATATACAGGGTGTTTCGTAACTTGTGGGGGCTGATTGCACGCCTAAAAATAATGAAAAAAAGTCATACAAATATATGTCCTATCTGTCTTCGTTTATGAGATACAATGAATTCTCTGTTTTAATTACTTTTACAAAAGATGCTCGAAATGACCACCTTGCATTTGAAGACAAGCCTGCACGCGTCTTGTCATTCATCTGGTNTGGAACTTCCTCTAATATTTCGTGTAAACGCGTGCTCAAAAAAATCAACGTACTTTGTGCCTGTTAGTTTCCCATCAAGAACAAAAGGTCCAATTAAAAATTTATCAATTATTCCTGCCCATACGTTTCAATTAAACTGGTGTTGATGGTCTTGACTGCACAATAACATGTGGGTTTTCTTCATCCCAGTTATGATTATTATGAAAATTGAATGTACCATCCCTGGTAAAACTAGCTTACTAGAGTTTGCTCTGTTTATATAAAATTCATTGTATCTCATAAACGAAAACATACATTTACATGACTTTGTTTCATTATTTTTGGGCGTACAATCAGCTCCCGAAGTTACAAAACACCGTCGTCGTCGTTATCCCTTATTTCGTCCAAATTGTGTTTAGAGGGAGATCTCCTCATAGGTCTGACATTTTCTTTTTTTTTTTTTTTTTTTTTGTTTTTTTTTTTTTTTTTTTTTTTTTTTTGTTATTTTATTTCGTCTACTCTTAATGGCGATGTTCTTCTGTACTTTTTATGCGGATTATTATGCTATAAGTAAGCAAATCGTTGCTTGTATGTAATTCGTTATTAGCGCAATTAATAGAGAGGATTGTTAATTCTCGTCGGTCAGAGCGAGAATTTGCACAGACGATGGAGCCGTGCTTGTAGTTTCAACGACGATGTATTTATTTCTTGTTGAGCGTTATTTATTTATAGACAGAGAGAAAGAATGTTCCCTACCTTCCTGATTGTAGTGGGTAATTGCACGTTGTTCGCAAGAAGATATACATATATACTATATTTTCTAATTAGAGGGAAGGAAAGGCAAACGCGGTGTAACATTCATTTTACTCTTGTACTATACTTACGGTAGATATTCTATTTGGTGCTCCTACTTACGCTAAAGTTGCTTAACTTTAAAAATCGTATGCTAAGATAGTGAAGTGCGATATTTTTCTTTTTTTTTTCTTCGTCTTCTTTTTTGTTTTGTATCTCGAAAACGACGCAGAGGTAGCAAAATTTTCAGTATTGATCATTTCTACGTTGCGTTCTATGTTAACATTCGCCATGTAGCACGCAAATATCATTCGTTATTAGGTGGACAATTATGCGACATAATTGTTAAGTTGACGGATCCAAAAGGGAAAGTGGTGCAAGTGGTGTCTAATTTTATTTGAACTGCCTAAGAAATAAATTTACACTTTTATAAAGAAAGAATGTTTTAAACGATTTCAAGAGTTATTAGGCATTGTACATTGTACATTACAAATGGAGCGACGTGAGCCTTTTGCATTTCATTTTATTTAAGGCTGACATATGAATTGCTCAAAGATTTTTTAAATTCATCCTATAATTTACAATTACTTGTGTTATTGTTAATTTACATTTATTTACGACGACGAAGTTGCATGAAAGTAATTAAGCGAGCAATGAAATTGAAAAAAAAAAGAACAAACACAAATGCAAACGTCAACTGTTGAAGAATTAATTGACTAAAATACTAAAATACTGAAATAATTTATTGACTAAACTTTTTCCTACACGCATTGCCACTGCTTGGCTTTAGTTTCCGAGACAAAAATATTTTTGACACCATGTACCTATTTAATGACACGTGGCTCTTTTTAGATTTGGTTGGATTTCAATTGAATTGGGATTAATTTTCAGTCACGTTTGTTTAAGTTTGCTAACATGTTATTATCGTGTATCTTTATTGTATTTACTTCTGTGAGTCACTTTGCAATTAATCAAAAAAAAAAAAACTATCTACCAACTTTTCGTAATTGTTGATAACGAGATATCCAAGAATATTTCGTGTAGCTTAACGTCTTACAATATACGCCAACAATGACTAACAATGTAATGAGTTTGCTCTCGATATGACATCGCGAAAATATCATTTCACGTTTCAATCTGTAAACACATAGATAGATAAGACAGGGGAACTCAACTTATATTAATTGCCATAGCTATTCGAAGAGTGCAGCTAGACAGTTTACCTATTCATTAAGAATCATTGTAAGTTTATCATTTAAGAGTGATTGATTTACCCTAGACCAATACCAATGCGTCTATTTAACAAGAGTTGATCATTTCTTGGATGAAGAACATCGTGTGGTTGGTAGAATAAATTCACAAAAAAAAAAAATAAATGACAAAGAATTGTCAGAGGGACCGAACTATTATACCTACACTCTCGAATGCATAACGTTATGAATTCAAAGAGTCATCGAAGGAAGTATGAAATATATTTTTATAGATACACATCTCGGAAACTAAGGGGCGATCGTTATTAGAAAAGATTGAAGATTATCATTATTGTCGTTTTCACAAAATTTACAAGCTCAGTTAAAAGATACTTGCTTGAACCACTCTTCTCATTGAGATCCACCGATTCTTCGTTCAATGTGATTTACGAGTACATTTGCACAACGTTACTGTGAGAATATGTTTAAAAGAAAAGAATGTGAAGAAAGGAACGTTTGTGGGAAAGGTGATCTTTAGCAAGGCGCCGGGGTTCGCATTTATTCGAATCTTTGGTTCTCTCGCCAAGCAATCTGTAATGCAATAAGTGAATCTGACTACTGTTCGTTGTGAACAATTTAATGCAAAGTATTACGATAAAGATGGCTAAGTTTGTTGAACAAGCGAACGATTATAAGAGTGAATTAATAATAACGATTAGCGAAACTCCATGGAGCTATATAATCCTATTTGAATTTACAAATTATAAATCGTAATACCATTTCGAAACTATATACATTTCTAGATTATGAAAGTATAGATTCTTAATATTATATACTGTAGATATACAACATATTTATCAGACGAGAGGAAAGGGTGGAGGAGTGAAGGGAGGGATAGGGAAAGAAGATACAGGAGTCGTATCTCCTCTCGCATTGATTTTCTATTAAAACTTTTTACATAACTCGGACAGCAGAGCGTGTTAGGTGAATACGCTTGCTAACGATTCGAAATCGTTTTATATAGTTATAATAGATAGTACCTATACTGTACGATTTACGTATGATATATGTAATACACATACATTCTGTGTGTATGGTGCTTTGAAAATTCATAAGGTGAGTCATGTGAACTGTTACAAAAGTAAATTCTCATTTGATGGAAACTATATGTTGGAAAATCTGTTGGAAATTATTTCCATAAACAGACAGAGAGATGAGCAAAAGAAAATTTGCAACAGTAATACTTATGAGTGTCAATAATCTACTGAATATTATACTCTTCATCAGTATACTGTAATTTGTATTCTGAACTGGATATATTCTTGTTATATAAATATTCTGTTTTCTAAAAATCTGGTATATTCTCTCAGAGACTTGTTTCTTAAAGTATCTTTTGTCCATCACTGTACCTCGTTTAAAACCTCTTGTAAAGGACAAGTGAATATGTTCAGAAACTACAGATATTTCATGAAAAAAAAAATATCATTGTAAATCCTTGGAACTATGCCAACATAATCTATAAATAAACGTAAGAAAAAAAATGACTGAAACGTCATAGATTCGCAAACGTTTTATTAAAAAAAATTACAATAGAAAAAACTTACTACTATAAAGCATCTTCACATACAACATATTTGCATGTGTGGTAACATAAAAGTTTCAACAAATAGTTTGATTTGTAACAGTTGCTTGACTCTGCGTAGGGGTAGAACAAAGACGTTCTACAATACAGCGTTGCTGTATCACATCAACTGGAAGTATTGTGTACCTGTACACTGTTATAGTAAACAAAACCGTGTACGTTTATATTTTAAGATAGATCTTTATTTATTTTATAAAGAACATATATATATATATATATATATAAGTAATATTTCAATTAATTTTTCTCATCCACTATACTTTGTTATCTCTCGTGATAATCCGAAAGTGAAGGTTCTTCGGAGCAAATTTCTCATCCCCTTTTCAAAAATTCTTCTTTTAATTTATTGGTATCTATCCTTTTTTTTTACTGGAGATTAACAGCTTCATTGAAATAAAATGTGCAAAAATTTTAGCAAATCCTCTTCTCTTGTCTTAATTTGACATAAGTGTTATTTCGATTTCGATGATTCAAAATAATTGTTTCGTATGGATTAATCGAGGGTTACTCTGATAGATAGCATTTCATTTTTTCAATAGTTGTCTTTCAGGTAATTAATTGCGAAACAAAATTGTTGTTCTCAATCGAGACGATAATTAATGGCCACCTTTAGGCCATTTTTGCATTCAAAATCGCAGCATTGTTGGAATTTTGGTGGAATTGGAAATATATAAATTTTTTTAGCAATTTAATACTTTCATAAACAGTAACTTGCTTCAACAAATAACACCGCAATCGTAGCTTCCAATAACACACCGCTACGTTCCCAGTCTACCAAGGAAACTACTATAATGCCACACTCTTTTAGCATGTTACATATTTTTTTTTTCTTATTAAATTGGAAAATCAGTTTGCTCTTTTCTTTCACACGCATAAAGCTCGAAAACCTTTGTCGGAATTGATTGTAATGTGCTACTGTAATTCTAATTTACAATTAGCGTAGTATTTTTCTTGTTATTCGCGTGAAGGGTTAATTTTATGTCTGCATTTAACTATAAGTCGAGCGTATTATTATATATACACAAATATGTTATTAATACCTTATTGATCGTTGATTTTGTACATATTTCACAATTGAAATTTGAACATCTAGATACATTGTGAGGAAATCTCAGTAATATGAAATTCGCTCTCGCATTCTCTTCAATTATTAATAACCATAGTTGAAACGATGGATATTGGTTTCTTAAAGAGATGTGATGAAGGATTTTTATATTTTCCTTGTGTCTTGTCTGACACAGTGCTTTTAAACGAGATGTTTTTTAAATAAATTTTTAAAAATATTTTAATACTAAAATTGTTACAAAGGCGTATTGTAAATGTGTAATTTGCAAGTATAATTTTTGAGAGGAAAAAATTTTTGTTGATCATAACATATTATTTTCTAAGAAAATTAAGTATTGAAGGGCTTTATAATCTGTCATTATATGACACTTTAATATTTTATATCATTAAAAAACAAAATTATTTTTTCGCTCATTTATACATAGTGTGTATAATTTATTAAAGAATAAAACTTTGCGTACAAAGAGTGATACATTATATTTTTTCATTATTAAATTTTGAATCGTTGAATATAAATAAATTTATTATTCTATTATTAGAGTTATTAAATGCCTAGTATTAACTAAATAGTTTTCTAGCAATTAAAGTCGTCTTATTCTATCTCTAAAATTATAATTATCATTAATGAAGCAATATATAAATATCAACATGCACATAAAAGAAATGCTTCGAAAAGATTTTTCCTACCAGCATTTCAATTTAATACAAATTGACGGTCGATAAGATGTTAACTATTAAACATAAGACACGATTGATTTTGTTGGACAATAATTTTTAAAAAATTCTCCAAGGAGAGCACGTTCTTTAAATATTAACGAAAACAAAAGAAAACATAATGTTCAATAGTAAGTACAATAAATTAAACCGATTAATTTAAGGAGCTACATGTATCTAGAAAAATTTCGCTTGAATTTATACAATTGTTGAAACTTAAGTATTTACCACTTTGCAAGGTGGACCTTTTACTTTGAAATTTCATTCATGTCTCTTCGTCCGGGAGATGCTTGGAAAAAAGTTAATTTTCTAAAGATAAGTAGCTCCTTAATTTAGTAGCTCGTCGTTTAAATTGTTAATATCTTATTTTTAATCATTCGTTTATACAAGAATCCTCAATTTCTTTTATACACTGTATTTACATCTGCGAATGTTAAATCGAATTAATACGTCTTTTATTAACTGTTAAAAAAAAAAAAGAAAAAAAAAAAGAAATCACTTAACTTAATAGATTAAACCAGAGTTGAATTTCAGTAATATTTTATTTTTAATGAAATCCGTTTATACAAGAATCCTCAATTTCTTCTATACTGTATTTATAACTGCGAATGTTAACTCGAATTAATACGTATTTTATTAACTGTTAAAAAAAAAAAAGAAAAAAAAAAGAAATCACTTAAAAACTAATAGATTAAACCAGAGTTGAATTTTCAGTAGTGTAAATCATGTCTAATTACGTTCTATATTATTCGTTTCACACAGATGAAGGGGTAATCGTTGTTTGAACCTCCTACAGGTTTTGCAATACGTTGATTCAAATGAAATTGCGACACATCGTATGGCGACTACTTAATTGTGATACGACGATCATTAAATTCTGCACAAATCAATAACGTACGTGACACACGTTGAGTAATACAGGTTCGTTTACACCTTTCGATGTAATAAAAAAAAAAAAAAAAACTTCGATCGCTGTGATAACAAAGATATTACTAATTCTAAGTTTTATTCGACGAAAGTAAAAATCGGTAATTATAATCGCCGATAAATAAGAATGTGAACGAACGACGTTTTCCGATATTCTTCAAAAATTTCACTTGAACTTACTATGAAAGGTCATCGAAAGACACGATTAAATTGTTAATTGAGAATCGGGGTTTCTCGATGAGGATTCCGTGCGAAGAGTTTCAAGCGTTACACGGTAGCGACGAGTTACGCCCAACTTCATTTATGTACGTGTACCTTACCGGTTACAAAGTAGGCCTACAATAAATCATTGAACTGGAATAACTCGACGAAAGAGGAGAAGTTCTTTAAAAAAAAAAAAAAACGAACCCGTTCCTTTGAACCCGATTCGTAGGGTAATGCGTAGTAATATAAATAACGATGGCCCTCTCTTCGCGAAGACAACATCGTTCATCACTGATGCGATGAACGAGCACATAACAGTAGATTTGACCGCTTGAGCAGGAAGAAGGAATTTCGTAGAGATATTCAAAGAGAAGGGGAACATTATACCGATAAAATCTACTCTTTCTACCATTAATAATACCGATAGATATCTCGTTATAAATGGTGGCCCCTGTTGTTCTTGCGTACGCAGAAATCACGGTCTTAACTTATACTTGAACGCAGGCTCGAACGCTAACTGAAATTATTATTCTGTCGTTTCAGAACGAACTGTATTATACGAAATCTTGAAATAAAGTTCTGCACGTGCATTACCCTGAAATGATACTTGCAAACGTGTAAATCTGCAAATTTCTAACGAAGAAGTTATGCTGAAAGGCGGCTGGAAAGATGAAGAGAAGTGTGTGCTACGATGATGAGTACTGAGAAATTTACAAAAATAGATTTCGGATAGAATTTTGAAGAGAGACAAAGAGCGATGTGAAGTTTCAGTCGGGAAGCAAAATTTTAATACTTGACGATCAAGTCAAGGTGTTGTTTGGACAAATAAATTCAGAGTTCGTTTCATAGGTACTAGAATTGTCGAAGCGAGTTTACTAATTTTATTTACCGACTAGCTAATCTCTTGTTGTTGCAATGAAAGATGACATCTGCGAGATTGCGTCTAAAGATTCAATCATTCGTGTTATTTAAATTAATATATTTCCAACGAGGAAATTATCTTGCTAATAACAATTGGTATCTTTTAAAATTTCAATCACAATCCTCTGTCCATATCGTTTTGTATGTATTTTAATTTTGTAAGCTTTGCCATTTCTTTCTGTCCTGCGCTTCAATCTATCGTTCCTTGCTTCATTGTAATTGCAACTTATTTTTAATAATGCAATCTTGGAGGAATAAAATTTTACAAGTGTTTAGAATAATAATTCATTTTTTTTTTTAAAAAAAAAAAAAAAAAAAAATAGTAGATCTTCGGGACTGATGCGAAATTTATTTAAATTTCAGAACGAATTAACGTCACTTCAAACAGGTTTGGTATCTTACAATGCGATTGAAAGAAATGGAGAGCCTGCTGCTTAAAAAAAACAGTCGAACAATTGTAAATGTATATGCGCTGAATTTATTACATGTGAAACTTACTCTTAATTTATAAGTAATTTATAAGCACCGTCGTATTACTTCTTCTACTTAATAAATCATAGAGACTGTAATTTACTTCAGTGGAATAAGTACACACACTGTGTCATATTTGTCATATCATATATAAGTCATTTCAAGTCTCTTGTCTCTCTGTCTCTTTCGAATAGTAGCTCAATGATTCAGTTCACTTCAAATACGCATCAAATTGGTATCACCTTAATAAATCAGCTCGTAGTAACTAATCCTAGCATCATTTACATGTTTCTCCCATTAATAATAGTTACTAGCGACGAGAAAACTTTTCTTCAGTCAAAAAAAACAATTGTCATCCTATGATTTCTTTTATTTTGATTACAATAGCTATGACCCCTATTTAAATATGGAGATTTACTTTTTTGAATTAATAATGCTACGATAGTTAATATACAAACATAACAAATATTATTTCATGCAACATTCACGTATAATAATAGGTTTTGCCGAGCGCTTGCTTTTCTGATTGATCGATTTTAAATTGATTTTCCCAAAAGTTTTGCCGCCGTTTTTATCGCTGGTCCGCTCGGTAAAAACGAGTTGCGCGCGCCGTTACATGAATTGGACAGTGGCGACATCTATTACTGAATATGGGTACTACCAAGTCGCTCAATCCGACTTGGCTGAAATTTTAAAACTACAGTTATTACGCTGCCTCCGACGTACGATGCGACGGCATGATCAATTTATACGTGAGATATTTGTAAACGCGATGTGACATTCTTAATTTCGACACGGACACGTTCGCACGAAAACATTCGCGAGGCAACATTTGCGTGTCATCGTTCCAGTCGGTCGGATTTCCTCGAGTGTGAACGTAACCTCAAAGTGAGTGATGCTCGTTTTACGCAGCTTTCAAAATACGAATTTGCTCGTGTTGCTCGGTGGTCTGCTGCTGTGCCTCGTTTTTCTGATACAGGTGAAGCAAATTTACAATAACAATCAGAAGTACAACCGATACTTGGGATACAAGGAATACGTAAGACGTTTTTAAATGACCCACATTACCGACGCTCGTGTCGCATTCGCTTTGCGAATTTTAATCGACCCCGTTTGAACTTTAGATGAATGAAATATCAACGGAACTGAAGGCAGTGGAGAACTCGGCAAACAAATCGTCGACCTATGTGCGTCAGTTGAACGAAATCCTTTTGAGGCACCGTGATAAGGATTTAAAAAATGTGACCGTATCACGACCTGTTCTTTGATTATAAATTATCGTAAAGTAGGTATATTTAGATGCTGTTAAATACTTCCACTTACGTGAATTGAAATAAATAATTTACATAAGTAAATGGAACATGCAAGTTCTTATTTCACTTTTCGCATTAAGAGAGAAATTTACAAATTTGTATATATTCTGTAAATAATATATTTGCTCTATCATGTCTGAAAATCTTGTAACATTTTTATTTCATGTATGATATTCTGCTGTTATATAACACAAGATCATAAACTTGTAGCAACTCATCAATTTTGCTAATGAGATTTATTTAAATACCCTGATACCATTTCTATAATATGTAAAAAAATATAACAGTTATTATAATAAATTATGAATGTCTCTTTCATCTACATTATGTCATGTTAACAATTGAGTATTTATGAATATTCATGACCATAGCAAATGTCATCGTGTAATAAAAATTAAAATAACATGTTCTAAATGTTTTCAAGCGGCATACATTGTGACACTTTAGTTCCAATAAGAACCCCTCTTGGTGCACAAAGCCAGGGATCATTGGTTACTTCCTGCCATTTTAACAGTCTCTGTTGTAAATCTGAGAATATTTTCTGAAAATATAATTTAGATGTAATTTAGAATTTTACAATTTGTCTCTCAAACAAATATCCTGCGTTTAATTACTTTTGCAGATGATTTAGAGGCAATATTGTTCTTTTCTTCTGGATCGTATTTCAAATCATACAATTCCCACTCTGGTCTATTGTAATAACTTTCTAATGTTTTATACCATGGAAGGTGTTGTTTATTTATAGTCCTATTTAAAAGATCCTTTAAATAAAAAAAAAGTGTTTGTTAATTTATAATTTAGAAGACATTGTGTAATCTTTTTTTTATGTTATTAATTTTTATCTTTTACAGGTTACCTGAAAGGTTGGTGAGACATAAAAGTCTTGATCAATAGGGAATGGCATTTTATAGTTAATGTTATGTATGAGCTTGAATCTTTTAGTTCTAATGGCACGCATGGGGTAATACATAGTAACTTCATGATGTGTCTGGCTGGCAAAAACAGCCGTGTCATTTTCTGTGGGTTCTGGAAATACACGTGTTGAACGAAGTAATGTCAAAGCATATCTGGATACCGAGGATAGATCAAATTTACCTTGAATGAGAAGTGGAAGGAGAGATTTTCCAGTTAGAAGAGGAGCTTCATTTGTATCAAATGAAGATCGATCCATATATGGTATGTTAAACCAATCTAATAATGTTGGTATAATATCCAATAAAGATGTTAAACTGTGCGTTACACTATTTTTTCTATGATTAGAAATTGGCGACCTAATCATCATAGGTTCTGCTAATCCTAATGTAACAAAGTTGATTATTCTTTTATTCTTTTATAGTAAATATCTTCATTTATCTTCATCTTCTTTATTTTTAGAATATTTTTAGAAAATAGGAAAATATAATATTTTTAATAATTTGATTAGTACCTGGTTCATATAAATTTGTTCTACCATTTGGAAATGGTATACCATTATCAGATGTGTATATCACTAACGTGTTATCTTTAAAACCAGCATCCTCTAGTTCTTTTAAAACTAATCCTATGCCTACAAAGATTTCAATACTTACTAGTATTGTTAATTTTTAAATCATATCATTGTTTTTAATAAAAAATACCTTGATCTAAACGAGAAATGGTAGTATACTGAGCAGCAATATCTCGTCTAGCAGCTTCGGTATTTTGAACGAAATATGGAACTTTTACCTGTTCCCACTGATAGTATATTGGATACCAGTCAGGGATAGTACCCATACCAATGTCTCCATTGCCAAATTTTTCACAAAAATTTCCATATTCCGGATGTGCATGACCACATCTATGAGGATCGTGAAATGCAATGTACAAAAAGAAGGGTCTGAAAATTTAATGCTATATTTGTCTTTGTTTTTCTTAAGTTCAAAATTATCATTATTTTTTGTTAAATGTGGGATCTATTCATACTTTGTTTTATTTTGGGAGAGAAATTCTCTGACTAAAAGTTTAATTTTTGTAATGTTTCTGCCAACTTGAAGTATAGAATTATTTTCTTCTGTTTGGGAAAAATCAAATGGATATACACTGTCTGGACCTATGTGCTTTTTACCTATAATACCTGTAAAAAATATTTACAAAGAATCGTTGAATTTTCACAGTATTTAAATTTACATATACCTGTTCTTATGTTATTTCTTTTCAATATTTTTGGCAAACTTTGAACAGTTTCAAATGAATTAAAGTGATGAATTCCGTGATGGAGACCATACATTCCATTTTGATGACTTGGTAAACCAGTGAGTAAAGATGAACGACTAGAATGTTTAAAAATTATGAAAGTAATCTAGTACGTAATATGTAATATGATAATAATGATATGATGCGCTAAGCAGCATTTTAAATAACAATGTACCTAGGAGAACAACTGCTGACTGATGAATATGCATTATTAAACAACAAACTTTCTTTCGCCAATTTGTCTAGATTGGGTGTTTGACAAATATTATTTAAGTAGGATCGCATTTCAAATCCCCCATCATCAGCTGCACAAAAAATTAAACTCTGTATAAAATTGTGAAATATAAAAAAAAAGTAAAATGTTCAATTGGAGATATCTGCCACAAATAAAGAGCATTAACTAAAATTCGACTTTCATATGGAAGTATATAAGACAAAATTTTTTTATCGGTTTTTTAAATTTTTATTAAACATCTCATGAAATTGAAAAGTTTTTGAGGGAGAAAAAATAACATTATTTACCCAAAAGTAAAACAGCATTTTTGTGCGGCGCGATGTTTGCGTCTACGTTATATAATTTGAATAAAAAGAAAAGAAGGCAATATAATTTATTTAACATTGTGTTTACTGTTTTTAACATTGTACTTTTACAGATAAGGACAGAATCGAACACGTCAAATTAGCCACGTATCTGTAATCACCGTTTGTATTTCTTTTTTTTTTCTTTTCCTTATTTTATATGCGATATTTAATTTATTTCGTGATCGACGAAAATAGAGAAGATGAAACGTCAACTTAAACACGTTCGAAATATTGTGTAACCATATTATTAACGTTATTGATCTTATTACATTATCAATGTGAATTGTTATGTGTATAGGTTATATTCATCGTTTAATTATTAAGACATGTCCAAATTTTTCAATAGCTTTTAATAACAATAATTTTTCGTTAAAATTGTAATACGTTTTACGTCTCTTCTTCTTCTTTTTTCCGTCGACTTTGAAATTCTTTTTATTGAAATGTATTTAGATATAATTTAATCCGTCAAGAAGAGAATCACATAAGTGGAGGGGAATTATTAATTTATAATAATGAGAAAAACGCCTTTCGCGTGACTTGTGAGTGGCTTATTTAATTTGCATGGTGAAGTCTTTTAAAACAGCATAATAAACTGTTTATTCCAAATAATTTCTTAGATTTAATTATAAGAATTTCTTGACAATTATATTTGCGTTTTATATAGAAGATTGTTTTAATACTTATTCCTTAATCAGACTTTAATGTAGAAATTTATGTTTCAGATTAAGCAAGTGGATAATATCAATTCACTATGACTAAGAAGATAATATGTTTATTTGATGTTGATGGCACACTTACGGATGCTAGACAGGTATAATAAAAGTAATTTTTATCACTGTAAATAAATTTTAATTTTTCTTTTTCACTAGCCAATTAAACCATCCGTGGAGAAATTTCTATTGGAGACTGTCAAGAAACAGTTTGATGTAGCTGTAGTTGGAGGATCAGATTTAAACAAGATTACAGAACAGTTGGGTGGTAAAAGTGTGTTTCAAAAATATAAATATGTTTTTGCAGAGAATGGACTCATTGCTTTTGAAGATGGTAAACAGTTACCTACAGAAGTAAGTGGTACTACTAAAAGACATTATTGTCAAAATTTTTCTATTTCTTATCTCTTATTTCTTATTTCAGACAATTCAAAGTGTTGTTGGGGAAGAAGCATTGCAGGATTTTATCAATTTTTGTTTGAAATATATATCAGAATTACATTTGCCATTCAAACGTGGAACTTTTATAGAATTTAGAAGCGGAATGATTAATGTATCACCGGTCGGTCGTAATTGTACTAAAGATGAGCGTATTCAGTTTTATGAATATGACCTCGAGCATCAAATTCGTCAGAAATTTATTCAAGCTCTTAAAAAAGAATTTCCAGATCTTGCTTTAACGTACAGTATTGGTAAGTAAAGCTTTTGTATTTACGTAAAGTTCTTTTCTCATTTAAATTTTTACTAAAAATATATTTGTTTTATGCGTAAAGGAGGTCAAATATCTTTTGATGTTTTCCCTAATGGTTGGGACAAAACATATTGTCTTAGACATATTCGGGGATATGATGAAATACACTTTTTTGGTGACAAAACAACGGAAGGTGGTAATGATTATGAAATTTATGAAAGTGATTTAACTGTTGGACATCGTGTGACTTGTCCAGAAGATACAATTAATCAACTTAACATTCTCATGGCACTTATTAAAGAAAGAAGAGAACGAGAACAACTGCAGGTTCCTATGCAATGTGCGTAATATAGTGAGGACTTAACTAAATATTTTACTTAGAGAGCACAAAGTACTTCTATATGTTACATTTACTTGTTTTTGTTTTGTTTTGTTAATAAGCATTCCATTTATAGTATTACATTTTCAGTGTCAAAAGAATTTTTGCAGGAAATTTAGACACTTAGATGCAATACAAAGAAATTTAGATTATTCAATTTTTTACTTTAGCAAATCAACTAGTTTAAATCGTTAAAATAATTTCGTGAGAAATTAAATTTTGAATTTCATTGATATTATGCAATGAGATATACAATAAAAATGTAAGTATTTTAAATTGACATCTGCATTATTTATTTACATCATTTAATTTTTTCCTATAAGATTTCAATATATATTTATTGAAATAGAAAAATAATGTTGAAATATAAAATATAATTTTATTTTTTAAAAATAAACTTTCGTGTATACATAAATATATACATATATACTAACAATAACAACGTTAATATAAAAATTTTAAATCACGTATAAAAATACTTAAAACCTATATAAATCCTAACAATATTATTTCTGCACTACACTAAAATATTAGTTTACTGTGTATTTTTGTTTAAATACAAATATATGTATGTATGCAAATGTATGTATCAAAATTAGTCATATTACAATAACATAGAATAAGAATGGCATCTTCCGCATTTAATCTCGATTAAAATGCATTTTCGTGATATGTCAACGATTAAGCGTAACAAATTTGTAAAATACGGCTTATTTTATTTTTATATGTCTAAACTCCCTGATAAATGGGAATACGTTTTGATGCAAATGCTGCAAGCCCTTCGATTCTATCTTTTGTATTTACAACTTTGTTATAACATTGTTTTTCAATTTCAAATCCATCTGTAACAGGTACTTGTAGACCTTGTGATATTGCTGTTTTTGCCATTCTAGAAAATGATAAAAATAAAATATGAGTATTATTATAACATATTTGTTATATGTATTATGTTTATATAAATCAAATTTATACATACTTAACTCCAATTGGTCCATTAGGTAAAATTTCTCTGGCAATTGACAAAGCGGCCTGATAAGCAGCATCGCCGCTTTTATTTTGTGGAACCACCTCATTTATTAAACCAATCTTCATAGCTTCTTCACCATTAAGAACACGTGCAGTGTAGATCAGTTCTTTCGCTTTAGCACTTCCAATTATTCGTGGAAGTCTTTGAGTACCTCCTGCTCCGGGGATAATAGCCCACTTTGTCTCTACAAGACCCATTTTGGCTTCTAATGCCGCAACTCGGATGTCTGTGGCTAGTGCAATTTCTAATCCACCACCTAATGCATCGCCATCTATAGCAGATATCACAGGTGTTGGTAGAGTTTCTATATTATTTGTCATATTTCTTAAGAACGAAACAAATTTCGAAACTTCTGCGTTGTCCATCCTTGCTCTTTCTCTGAGATCCGCACCAGCACAGAAAACCTTTGGAACCAAGCTACGAATGATTAACACTCTCAATTTTGAATCTTCTCTAATGGATGAAATAGCGTCGTGCAGCTGACTAGTTAAAGTTTTGCCAAGGGCATTGCAAACTCTGGGTCGATTTAATCCTAATACCACAATCCCATTGTCTTTTCCATCCAGATACTTAAGTACTATTTCTTTTACTTCGTCTTTCGGATTTAACATTGCACTGGTAGACATTGCTCTTACAGCGGTTGTACAAAGAGAATGAAATGTGCATTTGACGCTTGTTGTTAAGGCAGCCATTATGTAAGATTGATTTATAAACAAGCTTTCACTAAATTAAATGTTAGCAAATACAATCTGAAAAGAAAAGGATAATTTCCATTATTAAAAATCGATGTATAAATTACAAATATTTATAAGCTATAAATAATATAGAGTTCATATGGTTTTAATAACATAGAGTTTATATTACAATGCTTAACATGTTACAGACTTAATTAAATATATTCAACGAAGAAGTACATCAATTTGATGACAAATTACAACATATATCAATAACTGAAGATCAATAATTAAACAACATGACAAATCACATTTTCTATAGAAAAACAGTTTTAAAATTTAATATATTGTTAACCAATTAGTATATTTTTATTTGGTCACTTGATATTTTTTTAAATAGAAACGTGTATTTGATGGAATTGAATATATATTTAAAAGACATTAATCATTAATTGTACACTATAATATTAACTAACAATTAAATGATATTATTTCAAATAATAATAATTTACAAATCTATCGAATGATATCAATCTTCAACTATATATTTTACATTTAAAAATTCTTTTTTTTTTCAGCTAAATCAGATCATGAAAAATGGATTTGTCATATTTTCTGGAGTATTTAAAAGTCTACTTCGTAGCGTCTCGATGCTGTATTATCAAATATTTCTATAAATAGTATAACAATAACGACAAAGTTTTCCGAATGTTAGGAAGTTATTCGAATTGAACATTGATCGTCAAACGTACGTTAATCGATGACGTCGATAGAAAACGTGTGAATTAGAAAACAAAGCAAAAGAAGAAATAAAAATACCTAAGTGTGTTACTCCTCACTTTTGGAACCGTATAATAGGAATGTCGGCAGGCGACTCCTTGGACTTTATGCACCGTTGCGTTCCGCCAATAGCGTTTGTAGTAGGGAGAGCCGAAGAAAGTTCAAACGTAACGCAACCTCAGCCTAACCTTCAGCACCTCCGACAACGACGTCGCGGACGCAACTGGTCGGATGCAGAAAATGAAAGGAAAATATATATACTTCGAGTCTTCGCGACTTCGCGACCTACTCAAGTTGTTGTACATGTATTCATACGTTGTGCGCGACCCATACACGCAGATAAGATTCAAACAACCATTTTACGTCAGTCGATACGTTTTCCTCTCGGGCTGGCTTTACAAACCTCGGCCGAATCCGTCGCTGGAACGAAAGAGAACCAATGAAAGTTAATTACCATTTTTTTTTTTTATCGTAGTTACGTAATTCAACAGATCGAAGGTTTTTGCCTGAATTTTCATCGATTGAGGCAAATCGTTGAGAACGTGGAAAAGTTTAATTTTTTCTTCTTTTTTTTCTTCAAAGCAGACTTGGAATTGTAAGTTGTTACGACTTAACAGCGTACACGTTACAGTGTTCGTAAATTAACTAAAGGAAATCGCAAATAGATTAGTGGATTTATAAAAATCAAGATTACGTTCTTTTCGTAAGCGACACAGTTTGTATGTACTTAGGTTTAGAAACTGTAAGTCTCTCTGTAACTGTTTACTACCATCATTACGTTTCATAATACGTGTTGATAAGTAAATTTTTTTTATCTAACTAGGTAAGATCTTCAAGTAATCTTATCTAACAAAATGACGGGAAAAAAGAAGTGTTCTTCTATTACAGATAATCTAACTTTTAAAAATTTAATTTTGACATAAAATATGACTGTTATAAACCGGAGGAATTTTATAAATTACAACTGATTAGAATTAAACTGCTAGTTGTCGGTAACGTGTTCATTCTAATTCTTTATTTACAGTTACATGTATATTAAATTATCTTAGAAATAGTCATACGATTTGCTTTTCTTCTTTCTATACACGAATCGATAGTAATTCCTTTCTTTTAAAAATTTGTATTGTATAATACAATTTTTTTTTTTTTTTAGTTTTATTTCATTCGGATTAAACAAAAAAGTATTATAAAAAAAAATGACGACCTAGTGATGATGTTTAAACTGTTGAATTCTGAACAAGATCTACAGATCTTCTCTTCTCTTTTTTACGTTGTTTGTTACAAAATATTAAGCGTTCTGCAATGAAATTGTTCAGTTATTCTTATTTTTAGCATAAAAAATTGTGACATAATTGAAACAAAAACCACACGTGCCTTTGGCTATTATTTTTGCCTTGAAATAGTCCTTTCAGTGAATTAATTTTTAATAAACGGAAATACGAATAGAATATAATATAAATAATCTTTTTAATACGTTTAAATTTTTTCTGGAACAAGGTATTTTACACAACTTTGAAGACAACAGTCTAAATCTACTTAAAGTATTTTATTGATACATGTATAATTATTGACAGAGTATTATTAAAACAGTGTAAAAAAAAACTTATTCGTACTAAAATGAATTTTTTTTTTTTATAAATGTAAGCTCAATTGTTTCAAGTATCGGTATAAGTGTTGTAAAAAATGCGGATTACATCGACATATCGCAGTTTGAAAGTATTTCAGACTTCGCGGATGATCCATAGAAATTATTACGTATAAATAAATAAATAAATAAATAAATAAGTAGCATATTGGCCTGGAATGAAAGTAAGCAACTTTTTCAATTACACAGTTTGTCCCTTCTTCTTTTCTAAAAAAGTATCGTGATTGAAATGAAGAAATGACAAACGATTTGCTATTTGCTGACTCTTGGAATTCCTAATATTCAGGAAAGAATGGATGAATCGATAAATTGTATATTTAAAAATGTAAATTGGTATCTAACGCAGAACGAAAACTGTAAATTTAGAGAAGTGAGATACGTCACGTTAATTCACCATCAGTTTACATTCTTATTTTTTTCTGTACTTTATCAATATTTACCATCGTTAATTAATGATGATACATGTACACAACAGTCACAACAGTGATAACAAATTAATCTGTTAACGTATCCAAAATTTAAATTCAACATTACCATTCTTTAATAAAATACCTAAGTATTCAGAGAGCCAAAACAGGGAATTGAAATGCATTCATTGACGTTCTAATTACACTATTGAATATTACATTTTCAAACCGATATATTCCCTTACGACCTATATTCTTCTATATCCAACATAATCAACATACTGATTCATTTGAAAAGCATTCACGAAATAACAGAATGGATGTTCTTTCAGATGGGGAACAAACAGCCATAAAACCAAACGTACAATGCAAATATCATAAGAGAAGAGATTGCTCTTGCAAATAGAGATTGAAGAGAAAAGTAAAAAAAAAAAGGAAAGCGGCGTCTATTCTTGATGATTATGGTTTCCATTAAAATCGACGATGAGGCGGTGATGAAAGAATTAAGCAGCAACGACTGCAACAGGTGGAGGTCGAAGCATCGACCTTGTGGCTGACGATAATTTCTCAGAGACTAAATGGGCGATGTGCGATGATCTCTTCCAGACAAATTCGCGCGTTCTGTCGTGGTCGTCGGCGCTCTCCACTCGCACCTAATAAACAAAATTCAGGTGAGTTAGTTTAAATTAATGTAAGTGTCTTCGGACATTATTGATTATTTATTGCAAAATTCGAATTTTCGAAAATTTACATAAATAAAAGGTACAATTTATAATTAATATTAATTATAAAGATACAATTATATATTATTTATAATTGTACCTTTATAATTATATATTATAAAGATACAATTTATAATTAATATTAAATTTTAATTTATAATTAATATTAAAATTATTTATAATACGATTAATTAATAATTAAAGTTGTTAATTGAATGTGAAAACGATTCTCCTTTGGTATGAAAATAAACGAACGTGAAATGTAAGTAAATTGTCTTTTGAAAAATTTTACAATTTCTATTATATTTCTAATCTATTAAAGATTCTATTCTCTTTTAAAAAATATTTCCTGTAAGATGAAATGGATTTTTTCGTCGAAATTTTGTGCTATTGTTAACTGATAAGCTCATATTAAATAAGGAGATTGTTAACTGATAACTCACATTAAATAAGAAGAAAGTATTATTTGTGTACTAAATGCTAACGATATTATCAGACATAACTTTTTCAAATATGAATAACGTATCGTAAAAGTTGCGTATAAATTTAGCATTTCAACTTAGGCTTAGGTAAATATTACGATAATTCAGTGAGATATTCCATGGAAATCCAAGGCTGATGATTGTTCGTTAAACAATAAAGCAAGAGAGGAAGCTAGGAAACGCTATTGACGATAATAATTCATTAACTGAAACTAATCGACGATGAATGGCAAGAAAAATAGCATTGTTGCTTGTCTTGTGATGATAACAGAGGAAAATTAATAATGAAAATATGAATATAGAAAGTAAACACAGTGAGTAGAAAAATAGAGTAATGAAAAGAAAAGTTTTAACAAAGTATTTGAAATAAGAAAAAGAATAAAAGAAATAAAGAAGATGGAAAATATTTGAGAAAGTAAGTACAAATTGATAATGTTTAGGTGATTTAAATTATAAATAAATGAAGATAGCCATCATAGATATAAATGATGTAAGAAGCAAATGAGCCAATTTTTCAGCCAATGTTACTGGTGATAAAAAATGAATATTATATAATCCTCGAAAACGTGTTGGAGAAATCTTGTTGACAAAAAGGCAGTACTTGATAAAGATAAATGTGTAAAACACGTGCCAAAAGCACTATGTCCATTTGAAGAAGATAATGATCATTTTGTAATCGCCTGCAGAACTTCATTACCATTTCATACAAACACGAATTATAATTACATTGCAAACAATCAGATAAAGTGCGTGTGGAATGAACAAACGGAACTCAGTCTTGTATTATTCACAACGTGACGTTTAAAAATAATTACGTAACTATATAACATTTAGTAGTATCATTTTATAATATTTTATAGCATGGAGTGATAATTATTCTTTAATAATTATCTCAGAAAATATAAAGATATTCCTTCTTTTGGAATTGAAAAATATTATAAGAGATTCACTGTGAAATTGGACTTGGAATAACTTACAGAATAACAGATAACCTTGGAATAGATATAATTCTATTGATACGACAAAAGGTTTCAAAGCATTCTACAATTTACTTTGACAAGATTTACTAACAGTAGAAAATTGAGAACGATCGTGAAAGCGACTTGTAAGACTCGCAAGACTTTCTTGGAATGGAATAATCGAAACGATTAAGTTATGTAATAAAATGACCTGAAGATTTTAATAAGTGAAACAAGAGGTCAACATTCTACAGAACATTTCATTTGAATGTGTCTCTGTATAATTTCTTTGGTTATTATTTAATATTGATATAGAATATTACTTGATAGAATTTATAATATAATTTAAATAGATATTCAGTCGCTAGACTTGCAAGATATGAAAATTACATGAGAAAATGTTTCAGCATGTTACCAAACAAAAAAATTACAAAAAGATGTTATATAAACAATTACAGATGCGCATGTTAATCAAAAAAATCAGAATAAAAAATGACAATATTCATTACATTGCATAATAACTGCCTTTTTTTATTTTCAGTGAATGAAAATTCTGTGGTGCGACGTATATCTGGTGATCTCGAGGGCCAATGAATTACTTCACCTCTACTCATCATCGAGGGCAATGTTCATTGCATCAAATAAATATTAATCTTGAATTTTAATTTTAAGTTATTAATTATTAATTATTAAATACTTTGCATTGAGCAAATTTATTCGATAAGAGCTACGTAATAAGATTATAATATTTTGCAATTGTTCCATTTTTCCGCAATTAATTAAAAGATTAAAATTAAAAATTAAATTAATTAAAAGATTAAAATTTACAATAAAGAATATTTGAGAGATTTCACAATGATAATCAATTTACAATTGCCAAGAAACAATAAGAGTCATCGTGGTAATAACGTAACCACTGCGTAATGGTTTAACTATAATACCTACGTAAGTAATTTTTTCAAGCGGCCTTCGTTTGGTATATTCGTGTAAAAAAAATCGTTGTTTGTTCGTCGAAGACTAAACTGCTTTGTATTGAAATGACTATAAAGAAAAATCGAATAATCGAAAACTTAAATATTAATCGTTTGACGTGAACTAAATAGAACTCGATCGAAAGTTTATATGAATTCTGATTCAATTATGTAAATATCGGTAAATGATGAATGTTTAATCATCTGAATCAATATTATTAAAAGGAAACAAACGTTCCTAATACTTATCGATTTACATGTACGATGACGTTATTATTTGAGCAATCGACGAGCAAAGTCACAAAGTCCGATTATTATAATCTTTTAATCTTGATGTTGATAATATACAGTAGGACTTTCATAATTCAAGCACATGTTGTTTGTGCCTACATACCAATCATATATCAAGTATCAATCGAGTATTTTATGAATTTACAATTCCTGAGAAAGTTTATTTAATCAAGTCGCTATTCTCTGTTTTAAACTTTAATGTTGACGACTTAACGTCAAAACAGAATACATACATCAATTCATGATTCATGCATATGAACTTGGATTATTCAAACATTTGCTATTTGAACATAATATGTGTCTATTACGTCGACTCAACAGTGTGAAATTGTCATCCTATGTGACAACACCTTATACGTATGATGTTAATTGTTGAAACGAAATAAGAGATACTTTGGAAATCACAGAAGATAGGAAAACTTCTTCGCCGCAAAAGTCGCGAAAATAACGTTGGAGGTATTAGTCATTTGATACATTTATGGTGTGAGATATAAAGAGCAATGAGAGCATACATAGCTCAAGGCATAAACAGAATGCAACAATCTGATTCAACGTAACTTAACGTACTAAAAAATTAAAAAAAATTGATGCAACTCGACTTGTGAGAAAAAATGCAGACTCCACAATTAAATAAAAATATATTACACTCACGTTGCATTTTTTCCTTTTTATTATTACTTTAAAATGTCTTATTACTTTTTCATTCAGATATCAAGCAAATATAAAATTATATTTACAAGAAAGTTAATTTCAAATGTAATACCAATTAAATGTATTTATTAGTATTACCTGTTTAGGTTGCAAAACGCGAATGGAATTGAGGGTAGCTGAGCCACCATGAAGAACTCGAAGACTTAGCTTCCCCGACATTTCAGCAGTAGTGGCAGTCGCGCTTCTCAATTCCTTCTTCGCAGCCCTACCAAATTCCTTTTCAACTTTTAGTATCAAAGGGCCGAGAATAAATCTTGTTTTGATCATGGTGTGATCGCTCATCATGTTCACCGATACGTCTCCTGATCTTTGAAGACTCGCAAGTCCGTAAAGTGTGGCACTTGCCTTTGGTTTACTTTTCTTTGTCTAAAAATTGAGATAAGAAATGTTATTTCATTTTGATCGTTTGAAAAATTATCTTCTTATAAACAAAATATATATATATTGTTTATAAGAAGATAAAGTATTGTATCTTCTGTACAGTAATTATATAAAAGTAACATAATATAAAAAGTAATATATTTTATACATAAAATAAATTGTATGTATATGTATATATACATTTATCTTCTTATAAACAAAAAAAAAATATATATATACATATTTTTGTTTATAAGAAGATGAAGTACTACAAAAGTAATACAATATAAAAAGTAATATATTTTATACGTAAATAAATTCTATGTATATATATATATATTTATCTTCTTATAAACAAAAAATATATATATATACATATTTTGTTTATAAGAAGATAAAGTACTGTATCTTCTGTACAATTTTATAAAAATAATGTAATATAAAAAGTAATATATTTTATACATAAAATTGTATCTATATGTACATATACATTTATCTTCTTATAAACGAAAAATATATATATATATACATATTTTGTTTATAAGAAGATAAAATACTGTATCTTCTGTACAGTAATTTTATAAAAGAGTTGGAAATAATATATTTTTATGAAGCAAGATGTTACAAGAAGCAGAATTGAGTTTCAAGTATTGAAATAATTCATTATTTACTTAGTATTTTTTATTTGAGATACTTCTTTTATTTAAAAATGAGATATTTATGTTAACGTCGACCAAACACAATTGTTTACCTTGTTTTTATTACTGCTAGTCTGTTTCGTTTTATTCTTCGTTCCACCGCGAGTTTTATTTGTCTTCTTGCTATTTGAATTAGATACTCGTCTGTTTGTAGATCTCGTACTTGTTTCCACATTTGATCTACTTGCAATTTCAGAGACGATAGTTGTTGGAACTGCTTCCTTCTCGGCAGTCGCAACCGGCACAGTTATGTTTTCAGCAGACTCTAGCGTTTTCTGTGAAATGAATTCGAATAATCAATTTGTACTAATATCTTTCGATTTCACTTTGGTTTCCTTTAAATTTTCTAAATTTCACTTTTATAAGATACTATAAAGTTTCTATCACGTTGCTTCTACACGTTACCTGCGTGTTTTCAGAAATTTCATGAGTAATTTTGTCCGTAGTCACCGAAACCATTCCCAAATGGCTCTTTTTCGTCCCGGTCTTGCTACTGTTCTTCTTCGTCTTGTTCTTGCTCTTCTGCTTGTTAGACTTCAATCTTGAATTCGCGTTGCTCAACTTCACCGTCACCGGATCGTAATTGCTGCGCAAGATTTTGTTAATCCTGCCCAAGATATTGTCCACGAAACGATTATACTTCGCCACGTAAATCGTCGACACGTCGTTGCTTGGTCCCGACTGCATCATCCCTGAAAATAAATTTTTCATTTGCCTAATTTTTATCCATCCTCGGAAGTATCTGACGAAACTTGAAACAGAATATTTAATTAATTAGTGTGACTAAATAATCCGCAATGTGATGTCATTAACTTTTCATCAAGCCTCAGTTTGAACCTGCGTCCAAGGATATTTTTAATATTCAAACGGTTTATTATAGTATTTAAATATTTGCATCTTCCTCTATTTATATCTGTATCATATGTTACTCAATATTACTCAATATTATAATATTATAATTAATATTATAATATTTATAATGATACTTAAATATTTGCATCTTTCTCTATTTATACCTGTGTCATATGTTACTCAATATTATAATATTTATAATGATACTTAAATATTTGCATCTTTCTCTATTTATATCTGTGTCATATGTTACTCAATATTATAATATTTATAATGATACTTAAATATTTGCATCTTTCTCTATTTACAATACTTGTAATAATACTTAAATATTTGTAATATTTGTAATAATACTTAAATATTTGCATCTTCTTCTATTTATATCTATGTCATGTGTTACTCAATATTATAATATTTATAATGATACTTAAATATTTGCATCTTTCTCTGTTTACAATATTTATAATAATACTTAAATATTTGTAATATTTGTAATGATACTTAAATATTTGCATCTTTCTCTATTTACAATATTAATAATAATATTAATACTTAAATACTTGTAATATTTGTGATTATACTTAAATATTTGTATCTTTCTCTATTTATATTTATGTCATGTGTTACTCAATATTATAATATTTATAATGATACTTAAATATTTGCATCTTTCTCTGTTTACAATATTTATAATAATACTTAAATATTTGCATCTTTCTCTATTTACAATATTTATAATAATACTTAAATACTTGTAATATTTGTGATAATACTTAAATATTTGCATCTTTCTCTGTTTATATCTATGTCATATATTACTCAATATTATAATATTTATATAATGATACTTAAATAATTTGTAATATTTGTGATAATACTTAAATATTTGCATCTTTCTCTGTTTATATCTGTGTCATATGTTACTATACTCAAATATTTATCTATGCCTAATTGAGAGAGGAGGGCCTGATTTGTCCTTGACCGAATTAAACAGCCCACTTTTCAGCATCCAGCCAGGTTAACGAACCAACGGAGTTAACTCAACTGTCAGCGACCCATTTTTCGATGAAGATATTCACCTTGCGTACTTTCGACCATTTGGGAATGCCAGTTCAACCAGAATCTGAAAATATTACGGCGAGTACATCGTAACACTTTCCCCGAGCTTTGAATTTCAAATTATGCCGAATCGATTGCCCGAGCAGTTTTCCAGATCCAATGCCAATTATCCAAAGTGAAATCGCTCGTTAACGATCACGTATCGTGGAGTGAGTCGACGCAGCTTGGCTGTTAATGGCCAATGAGCATCGATGCGTTTTATTTTATAAGAAGCCGGCCTGGCCTAGCGTTAAGCTATGCGACGAATCGACACGAGGAAGAAGAGAGAGAGAGAGAGAGAGAGAGAAAAAAGGAAGAGAAAAACAGAGAAAAACTTCCGCGTTGGCGACCTCGATGAATTAAGTTTGTAAGAAAGAGCGACAATGTTAACGGTATATCGGAATCCTCCTGCGGAGCTAAACTGGTCTTCGATCTGGGCCACGACCTGCTTCCTACTCACCTACAGACCTATCTAGCTCTCGTTGTGTATGTATACAACCTTCCTTCCTTCCTTCCTTCTGTCTACCTAGAAAAACTCTCCCCGGTTGTACTATTTCGATATATAATATTTCAGCCACTTTCTTCCGAATGATCGAGGATCCCTCTGTCTCTCTCTCTCTCTCTCTCTCTCTCTTTAATTTGAGTCTGAACTCCCATTATCCGAACATGCACTCTGGCATCCAAACGTTGGAGGTATAATATATGTGCTCTTCTTGAACTATTTTATTATCTAGTATTATACACGGTTTAACATGATTTTTTTTCTTTTTTTTTTTTCTTTTTATAATTGGAAAGGAACATGTATCGTTTGACGAAACACGTGAAGAACAAGAGACAAATCAATGTTTCGTTTTGTGATTGTTGTATGTAGAGATTCGGGACAAATAACTGTAAGAAGATGCCTAAATTGACACAAAGTCTCGGTAAAAGGTGAGAAATCATAGGGGATTCCCAGGGGAAAAAAGAAAAAAAGGAGGGACTGTTGAAAGATCGAAATCGATTGATGTAAAATATATCTGTATAAACTAAAATGATATTAAATTTATTGAAAGAAAAATTATATATATTAAAAGTATCGATATTAAATTTAATAATGTACAATAATTTTTTAAATATTAAAATTACTATGTTAAATTATTTAATTATTATGGTTATTGTAATTTTTTAAATATTAAAAAATTATTATTATGTTAAATTACTTAATTATTATGGTTATTATAATTTTTTAAATATTAAAAAATTATTATTATTATAAAATAAATTATAAAATTATTATTATTATAATAATTAAATTATTTAATTATTATGGTTATGATTTTTTAAATATTAAAAAATTATTATGTTAAATTATTTAACTATTATAGTTATTGTAATTTTTTAAATATTAAAAAATTATTATTATGTTAAATTATTTAATTATTATGGTTATAATTTTTTAAATATTAAAAAATTATTATTATTATGTTAAATTATTTAATTGTTATGGTTATAATTTTTTAAATATTAAAAAATTATTATGTTAAATTATTTAATTATGGTTATTGTAATTTTTTAAATATTAAAAAATTATTATTATGTTAAATTATTTAATTATGGTTATTGTAATTTTTTAAATATTAAAAAATTATTATTATGTTAAATTATTTAATTATGGTTATTGTAATTTTTTAAATATTAAAAAATTATTATTATGTTAAATTATTTAATTATGGTTATTGTAATTTTTTAAATATTAAAAAATTATTATTATGTTAAATTATTTAATTATTATGGTTATTACAATTATTTAAATATTAAAAAATTATCAAATGTTAAATTATTTAATTATTATTGAATGTTAAATTTAAATTTACACTAGCAATTCTAAAAATTAGAACTATTAAAATAATAATTAATCCGTTCGAATAATAATTTAAACTAAAATTGAGAAAAATTGTTCTTCAATTCAATCAATTAAAATTAAAAAGAAAGAAATAATTATCATTATATATATATATTAAATTTCTTAAAATAACAAAATCAATTTCGATCCACAGTTAAATCAAAGAAAACAACGAGAAGAGAAAAGCGGACGAGAATTCTAGAAATCTAAACTAAAATTCAGATAAATTGTTTTTCAATTTGATCAATTAGAATTAAAAAGAAAGAAATAATTATCATTATATATATATATTAAATTTCTTAAAATAACAAAATCAATTTCGATCTACAGTTCTTAAGTGAAAGAAAACAACGAGAAGAGAAAAGCGAACGAGAATTCTAGAAATCTAAACTAAAATTGAGAAAAATTGTTCTTCAATTTAATCAATTAAAATTAAAAAGAAAGAAATAAATATCACTATATATATATATATATATAAAATTTCTTAAAATAACAAAATCAATTTCGATCACACAGTTAAGTCAAAGAGAAAAGTGAACAAGGATTCTAGAAATCTCTGAAATTCTAAATTGGTAGCAAAGTCCGATGATGGAAGATGGGGCGTGAATGATCGATCGCACCTGACTGAGGATCGAAACGAAAGAAAGGAAGAAAGAAAGAAAGAAAGAATGGTATGTGGTGATCGAAGACGGAGAGACAGCCGTGACTTTGGGTGTGGGTCAGGGTCGCGGACGGAGAGGACTCTTTCGCTATGTGCGCACGGTTCTCGTACGATCGGCGCACTCTGGGTCAGTGGCCTCGTTCTGTTTTGGACCGAGTGCTCGGTGAAAGCCGAGGAAAAAAATTTCAACCCGGTCACACCTTTATTGGATCTGGCCGCCTCCAGCCTGCTGTCCTCTAGAAAGTTAATTGGCCGGTGAGCCGGCCTTCGTCTAATTAAAATTTTTGGCGCGTTTTAACGTACCGCTTCGTTTCGCGTTCCACTGCCTCGCATTCCTCGCCTTCTTTCGTCACGAACGAAATAATAATAATCGATGCACTACGAATTTCAATCAATATATAAACGCTCGTGCCAATTTTCCTATTTTCCAGCGCGATGAGAATCTGAGCAAAGATCCGTCTCGTTCGCCAAATACCAGACGTATCAATATCTTCTACCGAGGTTTTGTCTTTTCATACTCTCATACTTCTCGATAAGTGTCTCTCAAGATCTTGAAAAGACGAATGCTCTTTCTCTTGTTCTCGTTGTTGGTTTTCGAATTAAATTTCAAAGTTTTCTAATTAAATTTCCTCGAGACCCCTTTGTTGAGCATTCGATTCAGTTACGTTTCAACTGCCTGTTTCTCTCAGCTGAATTTTTTTCATTTTAAGCATTTTCACGAAGTTCTAAATCGTACGCAGGCTTCCAGCTTCACTAGGTTTCTTTTTTTTTTTTAATTATGTCTCTCCCGTTTAGATCCAGAAGAGAATATTCTGCTTTCACGAACGAAATGCAGCTTGTTTTAAATTAAATTCCTTTTAGTTCCTGGATTTATCTAGCTCACGTTTCACGTTACGTGCCATGAGCTTCTGTAAATTGTAAATTATAAAAAACGCACCGCTCCAGGAAGCAGAGGAACTTTAAAGTAAATGAACCGGTGGATTTTGAATTTAAATTTCACGAAGCTCCGAATCGCGGATCTCCGTCGAGACGTCTGCAAACAGTATTGAAACGTAATTTTTGTTCGATTTCTTCGATACAAATTTCTCTTCATCCTCCTAGAATTTGAAAAGCGTTCTGTTTACCTAATTCAATGTCTCCAACAAGCCTGGAATGCTTTAATCACACTCTTTGCAAGTCAATAAATACACGAACAGGCA